AGCCGTAAGTTCTACACTACTGTACGGTTGTGAAACCTGGCCGCTTAAAGCAGCGGACCTGAAGAGGCTAGTTACGTTCGACCACCGGTGCCTTCGTAATTTAGCTCACATCTGGTGGGAACACCGCGTGAGCAACGAGCGTGTTCGACGCCTTGTTTATGGCACAGGAAAAGGAACTGAACCGCTCAGCACCGTCATTTCACGCACCACCCTCCGATGGCTCGGCCACATGTTACGCATGCCAGCCCACCGACTCCTGCGACGTGCGTTATTTTCGCGCCGGGGGTGTGGATGGAAGAAGAGGTGGGGTAGCCAAGCGATGATTTGGTCGAGAGGAATGAAGGCCCTCACTTCTGAGCTGGCTTCGGTTGGAGTGTCTCGGCTTCCTGGTTGGGGTCCGAAAGACGATGAACACGTTTGCTTGGATACACTTGCTGATATGACTAGTAGCCGACCTCAATGGCGTTCGTGCTGTGAGTTTCTTTGTCCCACCCCATCCCTCTTAGCCTCCCCCTCCAACCACGATCTCATTATTTAGCCTTATATAATTTTGCATAGTAATTTTTTGATGCACAGTAGCTGGCTGGTAGCTTATCGGAACGATGCCCATCCGTTACCGGTAGCTCAGCCGGCTTGCACCAGTTGCGTTTTTTTCTCATTTTTTCTGTGTATTGCGGCACAGTAGCTGAGGTGTTCCCCACCTCTAGCTAACGTGTATGATGATGATGATGATGACGTCCCATTTGTCATCATTACTTATGAACTTACATTTTATACTACTTATACCGAGGTCAATCTACCGGTGTGAGCTTAATTTTCTATATTTTGAATTTAGCTTTTTTACCCGTATAAAACCATTGTTCATTGTCCCATTGTACGCTGCTAAGACGTCCGCCGTGCCCTCCGGAGTGTAGCAGTTGCTTGTATGAGGAGCACTTATTGGTCGCCCTGAAACTCCTCTGTCTCTCCTTTCGCTCAGCTTATCTCAGTGATAGGAGAATGTCGAACTTGATCCACTCTCCTCTAGCAAACAGGTCAACGCACATGAATTGACGGCCCTTACACTGCACTTCCCATCAGAGCTGGAAGCGTGTTCGTCAGTGGATGCAGTTCCGGCCATTTGCTGTAGTCATGTAACCATGGTTAGGTGGCGGATGCTAGAGCGTTCGACAGTTAAGTCAATAATGTGTTTTATGCACCCACACAGGGTGAATATTGGGCTAAAACACACTCATTGGATGGAGATAACTAGTTAAATGAAATATTTCAAGAAGATTGGTATGAAACTTCAGTTATTAAAAGAACGCTGGTGGAGCCAAAATCAATGAAATAATTAATCCTCCAGTTCTTGAATGACTAATTTCTTAGCAGTCAAAAAGCATGACAGATGGGGGCCAACTGACGTATCATCGGCGTGTGGTGTACAAGCATATACAATTTTGTACATCTGTGTAGTCAAGGACTTCGATAAGCATTCGGACAACGCCCTATGCAAAGAGTGACCATCATCTTCGGGAGTTTTAGACACAAAACTGTTGCAGAAGTTAACACTGTTGGGTACAATGACAGCCTCATAGTGACACCACATCGAACTAAATGTCTCACTTATCTGGCAGTCACTCTGAGGTCCTTATTCAAGTGGACAGGAAAGATCACTGGAGAGCAATAGATCCAACAGGGTAACGCGCACGCAACGATAATACGTAGGATCAGACAGCTGGGTATGGAGGAATTCATAAGACGAGGAACATAGAACAGGAACCTCCTGACTTAAGGAAATATTTCACTTACGTGAAGAGACCACGTATGGCCTACTGCTCAGTGTCACTCCCAGATATTTCATTGATATGGAGAATTTTGCACCTTCACCATCGATGTAAAGTTGTGAGCAATTCGATAGGATTTGTCGGTAACAATTTCCCTTAGATAGTGAAAAACCACTACATTTTGAAGTGTTTAACTATACTGAGTTTTGGATTAAACTTTGAGATTGTCCAGAAGGGTTTGCAATCTCACGTGGAATCTATGGTTGGATAACGAACATCCAGGACTACCTCATCCGCATCCGGAATTGAGATCGCATAAGTGGCACATAAAAATGTGGACAGTATGGCTCTGTGAAAAATACTGTGATTCATGATGTTAATGTTGGGTTCTTCCAAAAAACCGATAGACTTGCTGCACTTGGTGTATAATAATCCTTCAGTAGATGAGCACCAAAAAGTTGCACTCCAGGGCCGAGCAAATGATACATCAACATTTACGCTTAACACAGCCGGATGTGTTGCGAAGTACACAGGAAACAGACACACGGGTGGATTTGTTTTATTATTCGTCATGATGGAAGCACAGAGGAAAGCTATCATAAGGTTGACTTATAAGTGCGATGCGCGAACTGTTGAGGGTCATGCAACTGCGTCTGGACTAACATCCTTCCAAGAATAAACCACTGCAAATTCTTCAGAGCAATAGACGTATAAGCAATTAACCGATATTTATACATTCCCTTTTTTGGCACCGGCGTGATGTTTGCTGTCCGCCAGTTGTCGGCTACATTGTGTTGCTTGAAACATAACGTGTACCATTCTACGAATGGCTGTGCTAGATAATCAGCACAATCCTTAAGGACGAGACGATACGCTTAATGCAGATTGGATGTTTCGTTCGATCACAGGCAGATTTATTGCTTGTGTACTTCTAAGCTATTCACAGAAGGTGGTCTAGCATTTGTGTTATAAACATCCTGGTTAGGTTTCCACTGTCCTCGTCGAAACGAATGAACTCTTAAATTGTAGTTCTCCGCGCCCAGGGTAGCATAGACGATACGTATTTGGACAGTGAGTGGACTCAGCCGGCAGACGAGAACTCGCAATTTATAAGGTAAACGGAACGCGTAAAGGCCGCACGACTGTACCGAGACCCGCAGAAAGAAGACTGATCAATGGTAAGAGTGCTTTACTGACTCAACCAAGGCAACCGTGCTTTCTGCACCTTCATATTTATAGTTCATTAAAACAGTAGTAATTGTATAAACTATAAGGGAAGGCGTATGTTTGTTGGCACATGAGTTGCCATGTAGTGGTCCTATCTCCGGGCAGAGATGGGGTGGGTTCGATGCTGTTGTGACGTTGGGCACAGCAGAGTTGCTGAGTGTACTCGTTGGCTAACGTATTGGCATGGACACGGCTCAGCAGACAGACGGTAGATACGATAGTGAGACTGGGCGAGTTCAGTAGAAACTGTGCGGGATACTTTGACCGTGTTCTCACTGGGGACAACTCCGCTGTGATCTGTGCAGTTGTGTGGACGCTTGGCGGCAGCTTCCGCAGGGAGAGCTCTGCTCTGAACTGGGTAGTTTGGGTCTCTGCATAGCGACCGTGTTATTCGGGCCCGCAATGTACTGGCGCCTGTGAAACCCGAGTGATTTTAGCATGCCTCTACCAGCGCTGTGGCCCTGTGATATCCGGAACTGAATTACCGTTCTGGTTGCAGAAATTTATGTTTAGTTTTCCCATATCCAGGCAGATGCATGACCTCATGGGTCCTCCCGTTTAGTTCTTTCAGCATTTTCTGAATTTCTCGCTAATGGTTGATTCGCAATATAGTTTGGACGTACATTTAGTTGAGGTAACGCAGTTCACAGGTACTTTACTGCGGCTACTTCTTTGCGCCTAAATGCCTTTTCCGTGAATCTGTGCAGTCGTTTGAGGTGTTATGACAAGAACCTCTCTGCACGAATTAATATTGTTTCACCTGGAGAGTAGAGTTCGAAGCAGAAGTTTAGGTGGCTGAATAGCTGTTCACTATAATTCGATGCCTCTGCGCCGTAAAATGAACTAAACTCTATGGAGGCTATATTTTCCTGAAGTCCCTCAATATCTTCAAAATACCATTGTCTCTGCCTAAACTTTCGATTTTTGCAATGGGTGAGTCTCTGGTCCACTTTCCTGTAGATAACAAGGGATAACTTTATAGTGGCATTCTCAGAAATCCCTACTAGTGCCCGATTTTAACCAGTGGACATTTTTAATTTACCCGTCCGGCAACTCCACTTATCCGAACGGTTATCAATATGTATGTGTGTTGTGACCCTCCACTCAGCTTCTGTTTAGCACTGGATCTCCGTGGATATCAAATTGTTCGCACCTGTTTGATTGTTGGAACCGGGAACTGCAGCCCTAAGTAGAAAGAATGTGACCTGGTTTTTCTGGCCGCATTCCCACTATTTGTTAACGTGGTTGCACAGCAACGCCATTCGAATTCAGGTGGCGGTGCTATAGTCCCCTAATCGCAAGTACTTCACCCCACCCCCTCTCTACAGCTTTGTGAAGTACAATTGTTTATGTTGTTTCCGTCGCACACCTCCATTTTTGGTTTTTATGTGACCTGAGAACTGTTCCTAACTTGGTTTTCGAAGTTCCTGTGTACTGGAGAAGAGTGACATTTTATCATTTGAGAGGTTAAACAAATAGGTACCAGCAGTACGCCGGTGCGCATTTGTTGATAGGGGCTTATACCATTGAGGCACGAGTAGCCGGGGCAGCCGAAGTTACTGACCGATCGATTGTGATGTATTGGGCATCGTAGCTAACACGATCAAATGAGGCAGCAGCAGTACGCCGGTGTGTAGTTCCATCGCTTCGCTGCCGCTCAACCACCAATAGTCGCGGATGGGCTAAGGACACTGCGGGGATCACCCGGTTCCCTACGCAAACTCGAACCCGAGCCCTCGGATTACAACACAGGTTTGGGATCCATTAGGCTACGGGCCGCCTAGGTGCGTTTTGCTGTTGTGCGTTAATTGATTTTCCAACTTGGAACACTGCCAATCGAGGGTTTCTGGGGCTTGGAGACCGCCTAAGGTAACAACTAATTACATGAAATTTGAACTCGGACCTTCGTTCCGGGGTGTGCGGCAGTGCACAACGTGCCAAGTGTGTTTAATGATTCCACAGCACAATGAGTGATTTGTTTTGTTTTTACCTTCCCTTCTCATCCAGCGTCTAAACAAGTTATCCAAAGACTTTGCCATTGAGGAACGCGAGCGGAAGCGGAAACTGGAGATGGAAGCCGCGAACCACCCGAAACCGAAGCGACTGAAGTATGCCCGTCCATTTCATCATTCGGTCACTGTCCGCCTTTTATTCCCACTCGTATGGTCGTCGCCCTGACGACTGTCGTCCTTTTATATGCTTCTTCCTGCCAAATCGGATTGGTTACTTCACGGTTGCAATAATTTTCTGCCACCGCTTGAATGTTTTTTTTCTTAATGGGAGTGTACAGGCTTATGGATGTTCAGAACACTTTGTGGCACTGTTATGGGTGCGCGGTTCGCTCACACATCTTGTCTTAACGTTCGTTATTATCCTGTTGTCAATTCTGACTTCGGAACTTTATATTCCAGACTGCCCGAGAATCACGATTCCTTAAGAAGGCTGATTCTATCTTTACTCCACTATCGTCCGTTTCAATCCTAGTTCCGATCGAACTAGGGTGGCTTCCGAGCCTCCTTTATCTCATCTGTGATTTACTTCCCCCACTTTTTCTCTTACCTTTCATTGTGTGACTGTGTCTGGCCAGTTCGCTGCCCTTACTGCAGCGTGACACCTCCGGTTTTTGCCCCAATACCACTCACCTCGTGCGTCGCTGTTAATAGGTGCTAAGTACACAGTTTGTCTAAAACGCTGTCAGGATATCTTTCGGGGGATCACTGAATTATCTCACCTTTTAATCACTCTGCGGTTAAACAGGCCTGTCTGATTTTGCCTTGCTTAGGGGGGTTGTCTTAATTGTCATAGGTAATTCATCGCACTTAGTCGCAGTCGAATAATCTTCCACGTATATGACTGTTTTGTCCCATTGGTGCTTGTCAATAGTGCCTCCCCTCCAACTGCACAAAGTACTGACCGTATGATCTCTCGATGCCAGCCATTAGACCATAATTGACGGCGGCAGGCCACCATGACTGATAAACCAGCTGCGACATGGCTGGGCTCACCCTCCACCACCATGCTTTTTACAAACCTTGTAGAGCACTGGGTTCATTCCCAAAGCCGTATACACAATTGCATTTTGGAGCCATATTAACGACTTTTTATGGGTATGTGGCTTTTTGATGTAGTTTTTATGGGTGCTTCTTTACACTTAACTCGTCCGCATTTTCTCTTTGCATCTCGTCTTCTCATTCGAATGACAACAACGCTTCTCGTCGACCTGTTAATACTTCCTTCACTGTGCATGCGAAATGGTGGTTTGTATTTAAGTATGCACATTTTAATTCGCCGTGGTTTTATCGCCATTTTCAATGGCCGTTATTGATTCACTAATTTAATCTTCTTTTTCGTACCTATTTTTCCAAAGCACCGCGTGCGTCTTAAGCTTTTCGTTACTACGTTTTTATCTTTATTTTTGCAGATCTTCTCTATCTCCTCTAAGTGACAATGATGTCAAGCTAGTAGCACATTGCCGTACTCGTTTGGAGATGCTTACTAATGAACTCAAGGAGCAAAGTATGCTGAGAGCCACCTTGAAGGAGCGTCTGGAACACATGACCTTCACTGAGGACTTTTGCCCTGCACAGAATCTAGAGGTGTTGAGTCTTGTCACGGGTGGGTCTCTACCATTGCGCGCCCAGGATGAGGAAGAAACTCGGCAGTCGTGCTCTGCAGTGCTCTCGGACTCATCTCAAGAACCAATGGATCCGCAAGCCTCACTGAAAACAGAATACTCCGCTCCGGCACCCCATCACTCTTCACAAGATACAACGTTTGCCATCCCACCTGAGACCGCTGTTATATTTAAGGAGGCGGATGAGCTCTCTCTATGCATTCCTCTGGAGACGTATACCGATCAGAATGCGATGCTCAAAACCGAATTATTGCGATCACCTACTCCAACGGTAGCTCATTCGTCCTCACATATCCCCACCAGCATTGCATCTGAACAGGTAACCACATCTCTTCTATCATGAGTCACGTTCGAATGGGATCCCTGTTTGATTCAGATTCTCCGTCATAAGCTCTATTTTTCAACTTCATATGTTCCGCTTGAGATTATGGCCGGAGCACACGTGGCTGCCGTGTAATGCACCAGCCGTTCAGCCACTATATGTTTCGGATATCTCTTGTAACAATACCAGGATTTCACTTTACCTTAATCGGGTTGGGTCGGCCTCCCTGTCTTGGGTTTTGAACTCGGCGTATGTTATCAGCTAGGATCGATCAAACTACCGATACCTGTTTCCAAAACGCCTCATGATCCCAACTGTACTTGGGCATCTCATCTAGGTGTTGCGACAGCTCAACTTCACTCAAAACCGTCTCCGCTTGTCGTGGTGAATTCATGAAAGAGTCCTTCGTGTTCGTGACATACAGATTTAAGTGCAGAGTAATACTTCTCAGGCACTCACTTCCCGACGATGCGTCGCCACAAGCAGGTGCGATCTACAGAATCAAACCCACTATTCAAGTCCGAAGAGAGACTGGTGTGTCCTTAGGCTGGATTGTTGAAGTCAGACGGGAAGGAGTAAGACATTCTCCGCCGGCAGCCTACGCGTTGCCTCGACAGACTGCAGCGCATGTGTGCCTACGCAACAACTCGTGTGCTTCGTTTCTTACCTTCACTGCGCTCATTGCACTATGGTCTCCGAGCAGGATACTCAAGTGTATACTGCTGCTCCTTAACTTACGGATACTTGTGTACATCGCATGCCTATTCGATCTCACGATATACTACCGTTGCTGATGAGTAGGATGATTTCTGCTTCATCCCCACAGCTCACAAGCCAGATAGTCCAACAGCCAATCCGGAAAAGCACCAGACGCTCCTTTCGCCTTATTGGCGCTCATCAGGGATACACATCTTCTGGTCCCATCAGGAACCGAAACCGTGACCGCTAGCTCTTTGCGCCAACAGCTTATACCACTGATTCATGGGGGACGGAAGCAGACCATCTGGACTTGCAAGCTAGCTGGGATATAGCGCAATCTATCCGCCACTATCATGCAGGTTCCTATCATGGCAGAGAACAGTGGCTGGCCTCTAATGGTCACGATCATTAGCGCACAGCATATAGGTACTCATGGCATTGAAACCTGTAGGGGCACGTTACTGATAAGTAGTCGAACCTTTGACGAAGTTCATTGATTCATCCCGTAACTGTTTCTAATCTTTCTCCGGTGTAAAGGATACTACTGTGATAGTCTGTTTTACAAGTGACAATGTTCCAGCTTCTGGCGAACAGTCGCTTGTGGTCAGTGCATCCTCCGGTGCGGAAGCCACCATAACTTTCACTGATTCTTTTACAAGCATTGGTTTGCTGCCATATCATTATGCAGTTCAGTAGTTCAGAGGTAATGAACATAAGGCTGATAGCACAATGATATTCATGGGGAGCCTTTTCACACTTATCGAAGATGGGAATGACAATTACTAACCGACAAGCAGAGCGCACCTGTGCCTTGTACCAAGTAGTCTCTACCAGAGCGAACACTGCAGTCAATGGTAAATCACCATGTTTTAGTGACGACGGCGGATAATTATCTGGGCCAAATGCCTTATACATCTTCAGCAGCACTAGCTTTTGCTGAATCTCTTCGGTGGTTAGCCTTGTTTCCTATTAGTTCTAACCCTGCTCAGGTGACCCATCTAACAGCTCCTTGGTCGACTAAGTTGCTCTTCTGGGTGCTCATCACAACTTTCTGGTCGACGCGATTGTGGATGGATAGGTTGCCTATCTTATTTAACTACTGTTTCACTCACATTAGCCTACTTTTGACCCATATATCGCACAAGTGGGAAGAGAACTCACGTATTCCCGATAGAAATGGTCCTCTGCATTTTCCCCATATTCCACCCACTACCACTCTCGGTCGATTCTCCCGTGATGCTTCTGAGCACTTTGGAACTGAATTAGAGAGGGATCTTTCTTTCGTTGCCAGTCAAGCTAGTTGAAACTTGCCACCTTGCGTGATTAAGTGATCGCAACTGCTTGCATGACCTTGTAGCCAATATGAGTCGTGTGCACCTTGTCGTCCGGTGGCCGCCATTTAACGCTTGTATTGGCAAGCTGTACTACTGATATAGCTTACAGCTGACTGGAGCGGCACTTATTCCTACTGTGGCAAGCATCAACTCCCAATGTGCCCCGAAATCCACGCCCTAACTTCGATGGGCACCCTACTTGAGAATTCACGTCAGCTGAAACAATTACGAAGCTTTTGTTGATCATGCCTGGTTTTGTGTCTCGACAAATTCGAGAATAAACTATTTATTTGTTTACTTATTTATTCGTTTTAGAGGGGTGAGCTGACTGCAGAATTCGTCTGCCGGGTTTTAGACTACAGTCGGCTGAGCGTAAGTTGTGACCCCGGAAATCCACCCTATATTCGACCGCTGATTGTTGACTCTGATGTAGCTTGTGCATAGAATTGCACACATACGGCTGTTCACTGGTATCCATTCTAGGGGCGAAAGCTGCGCGTCTTTACTAGGAGTGATTCCGGCATCATAACTACCGCAATCGGAGAAGTTGCAAAGTGTCTTCTCCCCCACTACTTGAACCTCGGTAGGAGAAGAGTAGGGGAAGTAGTACTTTGTTGTTTTCCGGACACCCCGCATGTAGCATCTCCGAGCAAGTCTAATTCTTTATCGAGTGTGGACTGATGCCCATTGAGGACGCCGGAAGGCCCAAGCAATCATTACACTATGAGTTTGAGAGACGTGGCTGCACCTTTGCTGGGGGGATTTCGGTGTTAAATGCTGCCAACTCTGCACCTTTGTTAAGACGATCAGGATTATCTGTCAGTACATAGAAGAACTGGGTTCGTACATGGGAATGGGAATGATAGAGCTGGATTTCTTGTTGGATGCGCTTTTTTATGTTTGGCGGATTTTTCCTTCACCCCTTATTCTGCTTGACGGTTCTTGTTCATTTTATCCTACCCAATGCTCGGTCTGCGTTTGTCAATCTAAAACATTTGTGACATCATCCGGATGTCTCACACTTGATACATGGCCGGCTTTACAACGCCTCTTTTCGAGCGGTGTTGCACTATGAAAGGGAGTCGTGACCAGTTCAGGTGGATAACATGCGTCGGCTTACTGTCTTCGACAATGGGTATTTAGAGAGGATTGTTCGTGTATGTTGTTAACAACGTAACTGCAGAAATTGACCCAGACCTCGTGTCTGCTGGAAGAGATCACGTGGTTGTCAGCCGTCCACCTGGCGATCGTTAACGAAATGGTTGAGTTCACCTCTAACAGCCCTTGAATCCTCACGCCTGCCTATTTGTGAACCAGAGGACGAGAAGTGTCAATGGCTCGAAACACTATAGGACATGACGCGCAACTGAAACCAGGGGGAGATTTGTGTACACACTTGTTTGTATTCAAGTGTTTGATGCCAAACGATTAAAAGGACAACAAAGTTGACAAAACGGCGTGTGCAGACACAACAAGGTGTCCCGTTTTTCTTGTTGCAGTCGTATTTGTCATCTGCTGATTTACATGGTTTCTGATGCTTCTATGCATGTCCATTTGGTAGTATAACAGTATCGGTACACATCGGTACGCATGTTTTTGGTTGTTATAAATCACGCACCCACGACCAGGGTCAAGCGCATTTCGGAATTAGTGGGTTTGCACATTATTGACATGGAATGGTTTGGCTTGACGCACTAAGTGGTGCTATCCTACAATCGGCGACTACACGTGGTACCCTGCTCTAAGTCAATCGAGTTTATCTTTACAATCCATGGACTGTATCCTATCATCTCAATTTTAAGAGCTATGGGCTTCTCTCTAGTCTCCGAAGAGTTGGTCTGATTCTTAACCATTTACTCGTCCAGCGTGGTGATTCTGAAGCAACCTGTTAATTTCCCCCCTAGGGTATCTCAATATACCATGAAATTACACAAACCGCTGCGCCATCTTAAAGTCCGATTTCATCGCGATGGTCAAATGACATCTACAGACGCTTGCTCGTACGACCTGGACGAATAGTCACAGAATATTTGAGCCATACCTCATGAGACTGAGACTGTATTTAAGAGCAAGTAGAAATGTTTCTGTACAACTCGATCGAATTATGAAGAATCCAAAACATTTAATTGCCAATTCTCAGTGGTGGTGTTTTGTCAGTTAATCGTTCATCCTTATTTGGTTCGGAATTCGTATTGGTGCCATTATTTCCGGATGTATGATGTATCTTTTACATTGTATGTGTACCGTTTCACAAAAGCACAGGTTTCCGAAATAATCGTCGACACGTGTTTTGAAACACTTCATACAATCGGCCTCTATCAGTCCTTCTGGTAGTGCATTCCATAAAGTTACGATTCTTCGTTCCATACAAAGTTGATGTGATGCCCTGTTCATGCATGGGACCCTGAGTTTGTAGCAGTGTCCTGGTGTGTTACAGGGTTCTCGCAGGTGAAATATTAACTGCAGTATGGGAAAGTGATTCAAGCGTAGTATTCGATGGGTCATAATAAGATCGATTCGTACTCTGCTGATAGGATAGTCTCTAAAGTCCAAGCCTTTCACAACCTTTTTCATACGGAAGCTTTTGTAGACTGGGTATCATTCTGGTTGCAATGTGCTGTATTTTCTCCAGTTTTTCCGTTTTTCACTGGGGTATCAGATGGTAAGCTGGGGCGCCATATTCAAGGATTGGTCTGATGAGCGAGGTGAATAGGCGAGGGACGGTTTCTTTCAACCATGTCATAATGTCCAGAGCACACGAAGTCCCGCACGGTATAATTCCTCTGTATTTTCTTGTGATCCTACGTCATGTCGTGAGAGCGCCCTTAAATCTCTGACAGATATGCTGAGGGGAAACAACTGGCCGTCCAAGGTGTATGATCGAGTGGCTGAGCGTCTGGTGATACTGATGAACCCCGACTTGCTTGCGTTAAGAGTGGGTTGCATTTCAGTAGACCACGTTGACAGTCGATCTAATTCATTCTGGAGGCGAACGCAATCGTCCTGGTTCTCAATGATCCTCTAGGTTTTTAGATCACCTGCAAACAGGGCACATGGTGACTAGAACTGCTGCGGGAAATTGTTGATATGAATAAGAAATAACACTGGCCCAAATGCAGTTCTTTGAGGCACTCCACTGGTCGATGGGAAGCAGTCTATCAGGTAGTCATTGACCTGTACTCTAAACTTCCGTCCCACAAAGAACTCGTGCAACCGCTGAAGTAACGTGCCACCGATTCCGTAGGTACTTAATTTACGAAGGAGTACCTCGTGGTTCACTCTGGCAAACACCTCACTAGAATCGATGTGCGCCACGTTAACGGCCTTCCATTCGTTCAGAGCTCTTACCCACTGGGGGTTTACGTACATCAAGTTGGTGATGCAGGATCGTCTTTTCGTGAAACCGTGTTGCGCTGGCGTCCGTCGATTTGAAGAACCACAGAAGACACCTTTTTACAGCCTCCTCGATAACTTTGGACAGTGTCGAAGTTAAACAGATCGGTCTATAGTCCTCTACTTTACTCGAATCACCACCCTTGGGGAGCGGTCTCACTATCAAACATTTCCACTCGTTGGGGACAGATCCTTCAGAGTGATTTATTGAATAGGTTTGTCACGGCTAGTGAGGTGACATTTGATAGGGACTTAAGTACTAGTGGGTGATGTCCGTCTGTTCCAGGGGGCTTTGAACTACTGAGGTTGACGAGTAGCTGATAAACTTCGTCTGCATCACATTGTAAGCTGTCAAGCAAGACTGGTGCAACCTGTGCCGGTACTAGAACAGCCGCTGATTGACTGGAAAATACGGTGAGAAAATTCGTAGCCAAGGCGTCCGCACGCTCCACGCTTGAAATGAACGTCTCTCCGGTAGACCGTTAAATCGCCCGCAAGTTTCAGTTGACGTTTCAAGTAGGCAAATATGCTCTTGAGGACGGTTGTGGACGAGGCTGCTAGCTCCTCTTCGAACTGCCGGCCTTTCTTGTTCTTTGCGGCGTTACACTGTAATCCTCATCACAACCCGAAATGATGTATCTGTCCCTAAGTTTACGACGCCGTCGCGCTAACTGTGTGTTTCTTATCAAACCAATGCGGTTTGACAGGTCCGACTTTTGAATACTTCAGGGGGAACGAACCGAGTTCACAGCGATTTAAGCTTCCTCTTCATTAATGATCAATAGGCCTCTAGCGACCCATCTTGTGTTAGTGTCCAATCAGTCTGATTTTCGGTTTTGACGTACCCGTTTCTTCCATTAGTTGAATGCCAGCTTCCGTTGTTTGTAATACTGTAACGACAGTTCTATGCTTGCCACATTGGCGCAGTAGTTCGTTAAAGGTTCGAGGACTCTGACCTCTTTCAGATTCTGCTCGCAGCTCGTAAACATTAGGTCCAACCAAGATGCCGAGTGCGGAGTTACGCGCGTTCGTTTGATGACACGTTGCGTTGCCCCACTTTCGATAGTCATTTTAGCGAATTGAGCCTCAACGTCACAATGAGCGGGAAGAAGCCAAACATCTGGCCAGAATATCCTAGGTTACTTTAGGTCACCCTTCGGTAGAAATTGTGGATGGCTCATGTGCTTCTTTACATGTGGTAGCCAATCGCAACAACTTTTTAGTAGGCTACGGTAGATAACACCTGACATTAGTTCTGCGCGTCTGAGGCGGATTGAGCACCACAGTTGCTCGCATAAGTTATCCTCGCTCCGATAGGTGCTGATAAGTTTGCCAGATAGTGACGATTTGATGTACAACAGAACACCACCGTGCGCTTATTTGATTTTCGGTCGCATCGGAAACAAGAGTATTCTGACAGAGCGACTTCTTGTTGTATGACGTCGGAGTTCAACCAAGTATCTTCAAGTCCTAAGATATCCGGCCGATCCACGATACTGAAGCAGCACAGTTCGTCACGTTTGTTCATTAGGCTGCACACGTTGGCGAATGCCACACGGAGGTCCTGGGAGGTACTGCGGTACGTGCCTCGAGGTTGAGCAACCGGTTGATGCGGGTTCTTACACCCTCCTTGATCACCCGAAAATTTACAATGCGTACCTCGGCCTCATCTTCTGTGCGGCATTTGAGCTCAATGGCCGCGGTCCTCAAACGATTCCTGTCTTCGGGTTCCAAGTCTCGGCGGATGTAAATCTTTACACCTTTCAGCCTTGACAGATAAGACAGTATGAGCTGCGGCATCTTGTGATTTGCAAAGGTGATTCTCAGAGGTCGAGATGACTGCTTAGTTTGCTGGCCAAGTCGGACTACTTGTTTAATCGTCACACTATCTTCACCCACATCCAAGAGTATACCGATGCGCCTCTGGAGGAATTCAACATCGTGATCACAGCGTATTTGAGGGTTTTCATCTTTTGACTGTTGCGTGGAAAACTATGAGATTGTGATGCCTCATCGAAATCGGTGATGAACCTGTGGGAGCAGGATTAAGAGCGCTTATCGGTTTGGGTTGTTGTTTACCAGCAGGGGGCACCTGAACTCGGTTACGTTGCTCCTTGCGCTTTAGAGTGGTCTATGGATCCTCGATGTTCAGAGGTTCACAGACAGGCTCTGAGAAATCCACAGACTGATCAGTGAAGCGATATTTCGGAGGTTCCGACTCTGAGTCTTCAATCCATGGGGAACATTAAACCTGAGACTCGGCCGGGGTCGAAGACGCTGGTGGTGGTGCATATCTAGGAGTGGCAAGGGAAGGCGAGTTAACAGAGGTACCTTCACGAGGGCGTTTGACCCCACGAGATGACCGGTGTGTTTCCACCTGTAATAGAGGTTTTCCTGTACTCATTGGCGGTCGCTGTGTATTTTGATGTCTTGAACCGCGACATTTATCACATATAACCTGGAAAAGCCGATGTCGGATGTCGAGAGATTTTCGAAAGACGTCAACGGATAAGCCAATGCGCAAAATATCGCAGCGGAAGTGCATGAGCTTTATGCCCAACAACTTTCGAATACGAGCCACTAATAGCTTGAGACGGCATCGCAAGGTAGAACAAATCCAAGATGACGCACACAGGCAGCAGTTGGGCCAATCAATGAGATCTCCGGAATTAGCCAGAGAATATCCACCAAGTTTGCACAGATTGAAAAGAAAAAATATTTTTGCACAATTCACACTGAAAAATGTGTATACCACAGTAATCCGAAGCAAAATCAGAATCCAGCATCTGGTGGTTCAAAAGGGCTTTTTTGTCGATGCGATTGGATTTATTTTATCGCATATCATAAATCAGCTTCTGAATGCGATGGACACTTACTACGTAGATCACGTTTTGCCTTGTTAACGAATAATTTGTCTGCAGAATCAACTCTAGCTGTATGCCGTACTGGATTGAAACACGCCCCGCAGGTTTGTCATGTCGGGTCTGGTGATGCTTTTTAATTCCCTCATTTGGATCACCTACACCAATGTATCCAGAGCGTTACAGCCCCGGCATTAATGCAGTGCATGACATGTTACCCCCAAGACCGGCAACTGAATGGCACCTGAAGCCAATGAAGCTTTTCCTGTATTAGACCACACGACGGCATATTTTACGTTTTTGAGTAATTTAGTAGTTACGGTCCAGGCGTGTACCAAAGCTGACTACTTTAATCGATGACACGTCTACTTTGAGTTTTGCGCTTTTTTTTGGGGGGGGGGGGTAATTATCTCCGTACGTTGTATGATGTTCGCCTTATTCTATCAACTTCCTTTCATAATGGTTTGGTTTGCTAATCCTCTGTGTAGCAGGTATATGTTAGTGCGTTATGTCATTGGTTTGTGCATCCTGTTATCGGGGTGACCTCGCAGGTGAATATACCAATGTATTAGGTGATTACACTCCTCGTGCAGTGTTTCTGAAGACTTGTGTTTTACAGTACGGAAACTTTAAAAATTCAGTAGTATGATCATACAAACGACGCTAACAGTACTTCGGCATAATAAAACTCAGGTCGTACCAACACTTTAGGTAATTCGCGGTTAACAGCGCAAACAGACAATTTGATGAACACGACGGCAGCGCTTTTTGAAGACCCGGCATTTGGCTCATTGCGTGTCGTATCGATTTGGACTTCTTTTCCATTTCCTACTTCGTTCTTCACATTGACCATTTCGTACCCCTTTCTCACCGACTTTTATTATTGTTCTACTTTCCAGGTCGTTTCACCTGACCGCACGAAGGAGCATATCCTTTCCACTTCTGACTTGACTTGTACTCATCTTTCTATCAAACCGGAAGAATGTCACGAACCTACTGAGTCAGAGGACTTCGCATTCACAAGAAGCATCTATCCAGCTGTCCCACATTCACCTTCATCTCCAGAACACATCCATCCAAGCCGACCTGAGTCAATGCCTAGTTTGGCTCGTCTCACGGAACCCATTAAACGCAAACGATTCGCCAGCGGCGATATTGACCATCTGGACGTGAAAAGGCGTACAACGCATGATACCGCTGCTCAACGAAGTGACCTCGAGGCCTCCTTGCGTCACTCAGCTGACCGCTTCGAGAGCATCACAGTGGCTCCCGTTCACCAGCCAGAATCTGCTCCAGACGTTGAGTTGGTCTTGGAATCTCCGCATCTCGAGCGTACGGTTAACTCTGGTTCCACGAAGCAATCACAACTCTCAAAACAAGTCATCAACACCAGCGTACGTATAACTTTTACAGCGATTGACTATGAATCTCGCTTATCGCTTATGGAATTGTGTATGCAATTACCAGATTGTGAACTGGTTGAATCCGCTGCGGATGCCACCCATTTGGTTTGCAATCGTCTGTTGCGCACACCGAAAACTTACATGGCAATTGCAATGGGGCTGTATCTGGTCACACCGAAGTGGATTCAAGCGTCTGTCGTTAGAGGAGTGTGGCTTGGTGAGCTGCCTTAAAAGTTTTCATTCTGCACGTCCTTCATTCAATCATTGTTAATCATGTATATATATATATATATATATATATATATATATATATATATATATATATATATATATATATATGTGTCTGCATGCGATTTATCTTGCCCTTTGCAAAACGTCTCCTAATTATGACCGCTACCACACCCTTTAGTGTACGCGATTGTTGAACCATCGTATGCAAGTTTGTGTCGTAGTCGCAGTGTATCATGGCTAGTTACTCTGTTACGACGGTTGCCGCTCATCTCAGCCCCACTATTTCAGCACTGAAGGGTCGTGGATTCTGTCTGCTCAGTGGGTAGCTGGATTGCGCACTGTGGACGTGTCCCTATGGAACAGAACAGCGCTTTCTCGAATGTTCGATTGTTATCTCAGTTTTGCTCTTATAAATCCTTCGATCTGATGACGTCGGATATATTATCCTCTCCTGTTATTGACTTCATTTAACCACTCACTCTGCTGCTGTTGTTTTTTGCTTTTTTTAATACGGTGACAGACGAGACACCTTGGCTCCTGAGCGATCCTGAAGCCGAGATGCAGCTTGGCGTTCAGCTGTCCGAATCAATGCTTCGCTCCCGTCGTCGACGTATGCTCGGTCCTCAAGCCGGTTTGTTTGCCGGGTTAGAGTTCTGGTTATCACCGGGGGCCTGTCACCGGGAAGTCTGCATCATGTTGATCAAGGCATGCGGTGGCACTTTACGTCACAAACGACCAACACAGAAAATGGCTCTGTTGCCTCGTCCAAGGCAGTTGATCATATGCCACGAGGATGACAGTCATGTGGCCAATTATCTGATGCGAATCAAGACGGGGAACAAGGGTGCGTTGTATTTTTGTGACATTGCCGGTCATTTAGCTTGCTGTTGCGATGTTTTTCCAGTCTTGTTTTAAGACTACTAGTTCTGTCGTATCAGTTCCATCCCCGCCGCTTGCGTCAGGGATCACTACGGCACGCTGCTGGTGTAAGCGAATTATCTTACAACAAACCACCTTTTCCTCGATTTCTCTTATCATCTTCAATCATAGTTTGTCTGTCTGGAACACGATGGCGTATCAATCAAATGTCTTGTGATGGGTCGAATAGTTTCAGCAACTGAGTTAGCCATATAGCGGAGCTTTCCTTTACAGCTATGTTTTTACTTCATATGTAAGCCGTTCTTCACATTCTTAATTATTCGACTATCCGACTTCATACCCTTCGCCATCCTGTCAATCTGCGATTTTCGCCGTTTAACGTTCACAAACAGCTACCATAGTTAACACTTTTGGCGGTATCCACAGCGTCCATTGCACGGGCCTTAACGGTTTTGCACGTTCATCAGCGTTCCCCTCCCTACCTCCATTCAGCTACTTGTATCATATTGTTATTGCTATCATAATTACTATATTATAATTACTATACTATTCCCTATCTCATTTTCTCCAGCTGTGCATCACGAAGAATTTGTTCTCAGCGGGGTACTTCGTCAGGAGCTCGATTATGAGTCCTATCAGATTCAGTATGTCAACACCTTGCAGACGAATTTAAGAGCCGCTGTTGCTGCCGCTGAAGCATCTCTCGCTAACAGCTGCTCGTTTCCCATGAGCTGCGTGGTGACTACTTCCGTTCCGGTGAAATCTGAGCGTTCTCTCTCACGCGGATCCGTAAACTCGACTACCAGACTCGCCTCGGTCGAGTCCAGGATAGCATCCGAAGCTGGACTCCCGTCGGATTCTGCGAGTGTTCACTATCAACCTTCTCGGTGCAGTCGCCCTCTCGCAGGTCAATCAAAACCGAAGGTTAACTCATATAGTGTGTCACATCCACACACAATGTTGGTTGAGTCGCCTGCCAGATCAGTAGTAAACAAGTCGCCTTCCAACCGTCCGCTTGCTACTTCCGGCCTTCACCATCTTTTGAATGATTCTCTCGATGACGTTCCTATGCACCCCAGCTTCTATTCCTTACCATGTCAACCACAAACGTCACGCGAACTAATGCCTATGCGAGAGCGGGATAACTCCGACGCTAACCTTCACAACGCCATGAAACGGCTTACCGATGCCTCAGATTTGACGCATCTTATGTCTACTGTTCCTTCATCCGCGTATGGCATGAGTGCTGCAGCTGCTGTACCGGTCTCCTCCATCACTCCTTATCGTGTGCCTGCAAATTCGGTCAGTCCGATTTCTTACGAACTTCCTGGGTCAGTGAGTAGTGTCTCTTTGGAATCGCAGCGTGATATTGTAGCTCCTCGATTGAAGTCATCCTCGGTTGTCACAACTGGAGTAGCTTCGTCGCATCAGAATGTTCATTTTACACAACCACACCGGCAGGTGACGGCTCTCACAGCCATGATTGTGGCGGCGGAATCTGGATCCTCGGATCTCTCCGTATCAGTTACCCCTACAAGCTCCGACGTCTCGTCATTCGTTCTTCCGAAATCCGGCGGCTTTCGTGGGCAAACCACATCTACTCTCAGCGGGAGCTCAGCCTTGAATGCCCGCAGCGCCGCCGCAGATGCTCATGCCGTAGCCACCGCAACGGCTGCAGCCGCAAACGCTTTGATACATAGTGAGCGAAAAGTCGGCGTGGGTATTGCGGAACTCGGAGCTCCACCTCGTGGCACCCGCAGCCCGCGTACTTCTCATGCTACTGGGTTGTTTGCTACTGATTTTGGGGACGTCAAGCATCAACGTGCGGCTTCTGTGCCACCCACTTCTCCCGTGCTCACAGGTTTTACTAGCGTATCTTCTTTAGATGGCGTGAAAAATCTAATTACTAATCAGTTGAACTTTCAACTTCCGGGTCTTACTTCGGCAATACCGAACTACATAAACCCATCTCTTCCGACACTGTCTACCGAATGCTCAACAACTGCTTCATTTTCTTTACCCATTGAAGGGGGACCCATGAGCCATCACACCTCGATCCCCAATCTAAGTGTCGATGATCTACTGTTGAATGAACAACCCCATTTCACTCACGAAACTGCGATTTCATGTGGTGTCTCTGTTGATCATTCACAGTCGTTCTTTGGAAGTTCGTTGACTGCAGAGTCCAATTTCAACCCACCCCTTCTGGCAGGGAACACGGATCCCCATTCATATCAGGGACCATCTCCCTTATCTCAATCGTCAGTTGTTTTCACTTCTTATCAAATCCGCGCCACTCCACCTGTGTGTGAGTTCTCAAGCAGTGTGGCGAATCATGTGTCAAACGCTTCCTCTGCTGAATCATCGCAAACGGGAAATAATTAGGCAAGTCTCTACAAATTTTTTCATTATTGTTTGATCATTTATATTTTTGTGGTTCAGAGAAATCCGGGCCTTACGAGTTTGTTGTAGGATACACCTGTTTTAACGTAAGAGAATATGCTCTTGTGATTTTACAACTACACCTTCTCACTGTTGTTATTGGCTACCGTCACAATACACCGGTATTTTTACGTACGATTATATCAAATAATCAGGTGATAATGCGAGACAATGCTAGTGGTGACGCTGAAAGAGTGGTCGTGTGTTGTGTAGGTATCACTGGGGATATGTAGCCAACATGAAATCACTAACAGTCTGGTTATTTGAGGATCTGGACTTCCCTTACTGTCAGCCACGTTGTTCGGGTAATCTGTGTTTACTTCTCTTCATCTATCCAATCGGTGCTTGTCCGGCGAGCTCTGCTTGCTACCACGGAGCCCGACAGGATGCGGCACCGACCGATCTCTTTTTTCCGTTGTGAACTTGTTCTTACTATCACTTTTGGGCCATTCTTTTCCTTAAAGAACACGGTTGACTGTGATCACTCCAAACCGTTCTGTGCCACTAAATGTCTCGTGTACTGTATTCTGTTGTCGCTTCTGTTTCCTCTTTTTCACTAAGTCCAATCGAGCCTGAAACCATGTGCTCAGGTTTCTCCCCCCCCCCCTCTTTCCACTTATATCACGCTACAACACACCCTCTGCTTTCCACTTGGTTACTAGGTGACTAAGATACGCTACTTGCATCCACGTCTGTCAGTGCATTGGGTTCTCCGTTCTCTTTTGTATCATCACTGTGGTATTCGTTAAAGTACAACAAATTATCAGATATACAAAGGGAGATAGAGGAACCCGAGTTGTTTTGTTAGATCCAAGGCGTTTATTTGCTCTTTTATTTTGTGTCCATTTTTTGTTCTATTGAATCCATGTATATTTTTAGTTTGCTTCTTTTTCAGTCATATGCATCGCCAACGACGATAACTTGCGTGCGCAGCTGTCCCACCGCTCACTTAGTTGATTACGTTCTTCAGCACCATATGCCGTCCACGTCTCCATTAACTGGTCAGCTAATTGCGTCATTGTCGCACTTGGCTTCCAATCCTTACTGTATTTCACATGTCCCAATTGTTCTACTTTCTACTTACTTTCCAACTCTATTGGCATGTAACTATTTTAAATTGTCTCTCTCCGTCTTATTCCTTCTCACTTGGGACCTATCATTTGTCGTTGAGTTCTGCTGTTTTCACGTGTTCGAGTTGTGTTGCTTTTAAGATTGGATTTAGGTGGCAGCTACCCACAACTCATTGTGTATTCCTGTCCTATCACCACAGCGAATTGCTGACTGCTTTTCATGCATTATATCCAGCATCCACCTCTGTAATGTCTCCTTCCTACGATGCACCGTAACCGAATTTTACGAGGGCACAGTAACGTTAACTTTCTCCAACTCCACTATTAGCCTCTGGTTCATAGTCAAGATCACTTAGATTTCTCATAGCATACTTAGTTTGTTTATATCAGACTGAGAGTTTTAGTCTCTTTGTGGTGCTTCTAACTCTTGAGAACTTCCTTTTTCAATCACATTTTCGCTGGCAGAGGCAACCACAGTGTATGTGGCGTGTGTTTCCAATTCATGGCTTTCGCACTTACTTGGCACACTGTACGGTTCGGTCAGCCAGCTGTTGTGGCTCGTGCACCAACTGACGGCGAGCGCATATGTCACAGCTGGCACCTTTACGAAAACAATGCTATTTGGTAGCAATTCGGAAAATGGAGTGAAATGCATGCACGGTCGACGGATGATAAATGAACTACAGTCATAACCGTTTGATGGAAAGACTAGCAGAAAGAAGTAAATCCCAAATTTAACTGCCACATTCGCCCTGTGAATACATCATGTCGGGACGAGTCTTCTATCCACCGATGTGACTGATCCTGTCTCCCTTCCCCCCAGCGAGAAAACAAATGCAGCAAAGGTAGGAAGCATCAGTGAGGCAATAAGTAATCTAGCTGGATGACGACTGGTCCACGCTTGTAACTATTGAGTTGACTTATCGATGGAGCATTTCAGATAGTCCGTCTGCCAACATACTATACCATCATCGCTTCATAAGTTGGCGTTAGCGTCACGATTCTTAAAGACGCCCCACGTGAACTCATTCATACGGAAACATAGCATTAATTGAATACCAGATGAGCTTCCTACGCAATTGCTGATGGCTCGATTGTTCTTGGCTCAAACCACACATGGTTGTTGATGGGGCGTTTTTAGATCGGCGTGTTCTGCTCGTCATCTTCGTCTTTTAGTTCCGTTAAACAACTATGATCAGAGCACCGAAGTGCGGTGGATCCAGTTGCGACGACTCACATCGCAAGAACAACAATAGTGAGGTTAAATGCAAATATAATATAGAGACATGGAAGTAAGATGCAAGTTTGTTAGACTAATCAAAATGGAACGACAATAACAACCAAATGCAGGAGCGCCACTGGCTGCGCCATGTCTGCTTCGGTCTCCAACCATTGGTGTGGATCATCCTGAGGTCCCCAACCACGCACCAGCCTGACCAAGTCTCTCAATTAACTTCACTCCTCTTTGCCACGTCATGGACTGGCCACCTCGCACTTTCGCCCAACTTGTTGCAGTCACGGCGCGTAAAACTCGGTCAATGGGCATACGGAGAACATGGCCTAACCAAAGTAAGCATCTTCGTCTTTAAAAAGTGCTAGACTAGTGAATGTGTGAATCACCAAGGCGCTTGTGCGTAGTGTACAAGTTTTCACTTTGCAGCGCCTTACTATTTCAGAAACTTCCTTGACAAGTTTGTTTCCATAGATGCAAAAGACATAATGGGGTTCGCGTTCTGGGGTAACGCAGCCGGGATGTTATACCGGTGCATTTACACCTTCGGTCTGCTTCAAGCTTGAGATTTATTGCATACGGCAAGCTTTGTGTTACTTACTGTTAGCCTTATCCCATAGCCTGATGGGAGCTTTGGACTTCTGCAGCTTGTCCTAGAATAAAGGTGAAGCTGACTTGCTAGGTCTATTATCCTACTGTCACCAACTATGACCAAACTCTTCTCCGGGGCCATAATTGGGTAGCCAGTTTACGTTTGTGGTCTGAATTTACACAGTTGTAAGAGTGACAGTATCTTGCCAGAACCGCGATTTGTACTCGTAACTGCAGTTCCACATGGACCAGTTTCTTCTTGATCATTTGTTATATCCGTTGATCATTTATAGTGGAGATCTTGGACTTACTCCCCACTACTGCGGTCCACTTCAGCTAGGCCACAACCACCTCTCCATGTCTTCAGAAGTCCGCCTCTCATTCAACCTAACCGAGTTTGTATTCATGAATCTAAGGGAGTGTGGTGACCATCGAGCATATGTCTTCCACGATCAACCGCTTCACTCACATCTTCCTTGAGGAGCCTATGCGTACTGAATACTGCGGTTTGAAGTACACTGACAACACGAGCAAGTTATGCCGAAACGGACTGTACGTGCTTTTGGCGTATGAACGCAGCTTATGCGCTTGTCTCTTCTCCTCCATCATAATATCAACACGAGTATGGCTCACCCACTTACTATCTGGTCACCCGAGACGAGATACATAAGCTCGAAGCAGTTTGTTACCAGGCTTATCTCTAGTTTACCAGGATGATATTTAATTTTAACCCATGTTCGTATTCTGCTCGACTTATTTTCAGCTTATTAATAGTCAGCTACAGGCTTTCGGAAATACAGACAGACCTCTGGTCACGATATCATGTCTGGTGACGTCATGTGCAAGTGGCAGCTGGACTGAGGCAGGGAAAAACGTGTTAAGTCATCGAGAGTCATCTGCCCCATGGGTGAACTCATTTGTTTGAATCCCATGGTGACGATCAAAGTGCCCATGATAGCAAGAGTTGTAACGCGGTCGATTAGACGGTGCTTCTTTGCGTTCGCAAGTATTTCATACTGTAAAACGTCTTGCCCTAGAATTGACGCTCGGATATCAGCGACTAAAAAAACCCATCGAAACAATCCTACTTCGAGGTTAGACTTGTGCAAACGCTGACCACATTCAGATGATGGACCCGTTAACTGTGCATAGATAACCGCCTTTTCAGTAAGATAGTTGGAATCGCGAAGGACGCTGATTTCTACACTAGTATTGACGAGCTAGCGTACTCCTGTTTTCCGATCCTTAAAGAAGAAAAGTCGACTGCATTGACTAATCAGTCGGCTCGTTTCTCTTTCCTTTACGTTTGAAAGCATAGGGCTGGCCTGCCCGAATCGCTGTCGCTGATGTTGCAGAACTCATTCCTTCAGGGACAAGCATTTATTCAGCAGTCAAGCCGGGGAAAATTACAGCATGTTTGGGAGGCCAAACTCTTCGACGTAAGTTAAACGTTCAAGTCCATAACTAACGACGCTTCTGAGTCGATGAAGTCCCTCCTTTGCTTCAGTTAAACAAACGGTGAATCACTCACCCGAATATCGGTCATTCCGAGTCCAGTAATCGAATCCGTTACGCCCGCCACCCATTGGCTGTCTGGCGGACTCGGTTCGTCCATCCGCCCACTCTGATCTGACACTCGTAGCACAGGGGACACCAACAGAAAGATGCTGTAGGCCGAGAGATTTATAGCGGGAACACGAATTATTTCTAAACGGACATCTGAGCTCATATCTCGCAGCTGTAAATTCGACAAACTATCTGGTCTACGCTACAGTCTGCGTGCTTAGTTTGAATACATCCTTATTAGAGGTCAACTGGACCTGCGAAGTATGATCATATGATTTTAATTCTGTTGACTGTATCATCCAATTGGGACGCCGGTGCATCAGCACTGGCAATCGGCGCAACCATTTCTCCCGCGGAAGATGTGTATCGTCTACAATTTGGCTAGGTTCTGCATCTTTTGCCAAGGCTGAAATGCTTTAAGAGCACCAAGCTCAGTGTCGCTCAAACGTTACGTTGCTGATCGGACAGTTGCCTTAGTTTCTTTG